AAAATAAATTATAATAAAACATAACCCAACATAACTCACCTGTAGCTGCTGATAAAAGGCAGAAGCAGTCCAAAACATCTGTGAAAGCCCTTTTCTTTGTTTCTAACAAGCTCAACTGATCTCTTTCTCTGAGAATACTTCTTTTACAGAGTGAACGCGGAACAGAAAAACAGCCACAGCACACTTTTAGTATTTGTATAAAAGAGATTTACTTCAATTATCACACCTAGGGTGCATGTGAATAATAATGATGATGAATCAAATGTCAATCATAACAAATACATTGTGAACATTTCATACAGTGATATTGCTTTTCAATGTTGTAGAAGGGACTGTTTTACAGTGCTGAGAACAAACAACATGATACGTTTAGTAAATAGAAAGATAAAGAAACAATGATACATGAGGAAAAACAAACCAAAGGGAGGGAGACCGTGAAGGAGTTAAAAAGCATCTCAGGAGTGACGGAAGTGCGGAGAGGGACGGGGAAGGAGAGAGGGGGGAGGAAACGACTTTCAAAAAACATCTTGACCATCCCTTTACAGTCATGCATCCTTTTGTACTACAACACACACGTACGCGCACGCACACACTCATTAAAAAAATAAGCATTGGGAGAAAGTGATGAGAATTATTACTTTCACGTTGTTGATGACATGTTGGGGGGAGGGAAAAAAAAAATCAAAGAAAAAAAAAAGAACAATACTCTGAACTTGCTAAAGCCTCAACAAGCATCTTAAAGCTTTCCAAAAGGGGAGGGAAGAGGTTAGGGTGGGGGTAGATGGGGAGGAGGTTGGGGGTGGGTGGGTGAAGATCTCCCCAGGTCATTTTGGTTGTCAGACTACACTGTGGTTTAAGCTATGGGTGAACTGAAGCGACGACACTAGCAATGTACAGGGGTAAAAAAAAAAAAAATGCAACATTTTAAAAAGTCAGCGACCTTTTTCCAACAGAAGAGGATAACTAACGTCACTATTTGGCTTTTTGCTTCCTCTTTTTTTTTTTTTTTTTTTTTTTGTTTAAATCTTAAGTCTTGTACTGAATGAAATGTTTTTTATCCCAGAGCCGATCTCCGAGGCTTAAGCGTGAAAGACGACGGGGAAATGATTTTAAGACTTAAAACAATAACAAAAGCCATGTGAGTAAAGTTAAAAGGGGGTTAAGGGAGGGGGGGAGGGTTTAAAACATGAGTGTATTGTGCTGTATTATGTGTGTATGTATTACTGAGTGTGCTATGCATACAGCACCGCTGATTCAGAAAGTGTTTCCTTACAAAAACCCACTTCATAAGATATATTTTAAAAGTATTACAAAAAACATCTGAGGTCTCTCTCTCTCTCTCTCTTATTTTTTTTTCTTCTTTTTTTCTCCTGAATATGGTGACCAGTGCTGCTGTTCGGGCTTCCATTACAACTAAAAACATGTCAAATGAACAACCACTACTTCAACAGATCATACAGTAAAGCTTTACGACTTCAGAAAACATGATATGATATACAGCATCTGTTACACCTTTACAATGTTATTCAACAGTGTATAGAATCATCTGATTTAAATTTGTAGAAAAATATCTGTGGATCATGGAAAAGTCCTGAATCGTCCCTTCTCTCCTCCTGCCTTCAAAACAAAAGCATACCGTGACAATAGTGAATTAATAGCTACTCCATCGACCGTATTTACACGTCTCTCTCTTTTTTTTCCTCCAAATAACCATCAGAATTGGCACGTGTCATTATCAATACCTGTAGTGCCGTTTATCAATGTCACAGCAAACCTGACACAAACAGAAAAATACAAAAAATGCCCTATGAATAAATTCAGTGTTATTACAGTGTATGCCATTTCTGCATGCTTCCTCCTTCATTCAATGCTCTGGCCTTTTTCGCTGCTAGTCAGTTTATATACAACGTAAGTAATGCATTGTGGGAAAAAAATAAACAAACAAACAAACAAATTAGTTTGTAAATAAAACCCTCTCCGGAGAGCTGATGGAAGTCGAGTTTAAAGTACCGTGAGAAACAAATTTCAGGTCAGGACGCGAGATGCATCGCGGACGAATCGGGGGGAATCCTCTACATCTAATGACATCACTAGTTTGGTGCCCTGCTTGGCAGTTAAAGGCACAAATCTGATGATCTCACACGGTTCGGGTGAGCGGATGGATCAGGTTATTACAAAAAAAAAAGAAAATAATTACTGATGGGTTAAGTGCTCATACTTTACAGTAGCTATTCATCACCATAAAACAAACACACTGTGGCTGTCCAGTCCAAGCGGTCCCAACAGAAGGCAGTATCACTATTCAGCGCGCAGCAGGGGACAGATGTCTCACATCAGTCGACGGCAGGGAGAGCCGACGTTTGGGCGATTATTTTTTAACAACTAACAGACGCTTTGGAAAGTCCGATTTAAACTTTTGACGGGCTTATCTCGAGTATACGCTGAGGGGAAAGTGGGAGGCTATAAAAAAAACATTGGGATTTGTGAATAGAAAACAACACGTTTGATACTCATGATATCTACACCTGCACAGGACGACGGCCCGCCTGTCACACAGTCATCTGTAGTTTGAAATAAGGGTTGGCTGGACAGAAACTCAGTTTAATCACATAGAAAACATGGGTACAGCTATCTTATGATTCTTTTTTGTTGTTGTTTTTAGTGTTACAATGTGGATAAGCATCTGTGCTTGGTTTACAACCACTTTTTTTTTTTTTTTCTTTTTTTTTTAAAGGCATACACTTCCCAGGATCCCGGGATTGTACTCTTGTTGTAGTGTTTACAGACCCTGTCCTGGTAAGTCTTACAAAGATCCTAATAAGTGCTTCGTTACTAACTGCAATAGAAATTCTGCATAATCATAGGCTGGCTATCTCTGCTCGATCTGGCGTAGCACACCTGCTAGCTGGTACACTTCTCTAATCTCAATTTGGCAGATATGACCTCTTTCAAGTTAACATGCGTTCGTATGTTTAGGTAATTTCACTTGACCTATTTGACAAAGTGTATAATTTGGACCAGTTAATTAAGTTAATGTGATTAATGAGTGGGCAAGGTCTACATCTAAAGAAAGCTGCGTGCCCTGCCGAGCAGTAGTGTTGGGCTTGCCCAGGAAAAGGAAAAAAAAGGAAGGACAAAAAAAACAAACAAACAAACAAACAAACAAACAAATATTATTGGAGGATAGAAAACAGGAAAACAGATATGCTATCATATATTCACTGATCTTGATATGTCCTTTGATTCTCTAGCTAGCAGTTTCTTTTTGTGTGTGTGTGAGCATAACAGTTGTGGTAAGAGCTTTTTATGCTTACGGGAGCATGAACTGTAGCAAAACACATCTTTCAAAAGCTATTGAAATGACACTAAACTTTAGGATTCATGAATATACAAACAAATGAGAACTAGTACATCTTTGTAAATATTAACCAATACTGCCGGCAGTCTATACGTCTAATAAAAATGTTACTTGCCCTCAGGAACAGTATAATCCCTTAAAAAATAGACAACTCAAATGATAAGACATTAAATGAAAAATACAGCACCTATAAATAAGCGGAATAAAAACCAAACTATAAATGCAAAATAGCAATAAAACCAAGCTACAGTAAATCATAGTATTACACTACTTTGTGAGAAGATTAATGTAATGGTAACGCATCAAACAGCTTAAAGAAGGGTGTCAGTTGTGCACTAGTAGTGTGTGCAAGATACGAAATATGACCCCACTCATCGGAAACACTGAACACTCGAGTCTCACGCACGCTTTGTGCACACGCATGTATTGACGACAGGCGTGCGTGCACATGCATCCACGCAAACTCTCACGCACGCACACAAACACACAAACAAAGGGGAGGCAGTGGGCTGACAGGCACTGAGGGCTTGTGTGGGACAGGGAGGAGGTGATATGCCTTATAATTTGTAGTGTATACAGTAGAATTCAATGCAAAAAAGACTTACATCCCTGGATACAGGAGAGACTGGAGGAGCGTGGTAACTACTCACACCAGGGTTGGGGCGAATTCACCAGCAGAAGTTTCTGCACGCTGCAATTCATTTGCTTTAACAAAAAAAAAAAAAAAAAAAAATACCCATTTTCCATCAAGAATTTCATTATTGACAAATCGATCGATCGATCGGTCCAATTCTGAGTGAACTGACCTCAACCCTGACTTACATGCAGGCAAATAACAAATGCACACAGACACACACGTACACACACTCTTCCTGATTTGGCCTATAAAAAGATGTGTGTTTGTGAACAGAGAAAATTTTGTCGGTGGTGCGGACATACACGCACACACGCGCACACACACACACAAACACACCCACCCAGCAGGTCCAGTGCTGGGCAAAGTTGTGACGTGCACAACCAAAAACAACGAGAGACACGTATAGTATCACCATGTCAGACAGCTACAGTACTACGTGAATTCATTGTATGTCAACAATGCAACATTATTCCATTCTAAGGTTGTTTCTTTCTTTCTTTTTTTAAACAGTAACTTGTTATTCTTGTCTTTTCTGTTCTTATTTTGTACTAATTAAAAATGTTTCCTAAAATTCCCTATTTTTGTACTCTTTAGAGTCAATAGACTGTGCAATCTCTTATTGGCAACCAAATTGCAATATTTAAAAACAAAACAAAGAAAAAACAGATCATCCTTCATCCTAAAAAGAAGGGTTTAAGGAGGCAAAAAGAGGGGTCCTTCTTTCCTTCCTTCCTCTTCAGATGAGTGTGTGTATTTTGTGAGGAATTACACATCCTTCTGGCCATCACATGGCTGTCAGCAGGATAGGATATGGGACACAACAGGTCAAAGTTCATCGTTCTTACACCAGTAACCATGGCAGCTCAGCCAGCAGGCCTTCAACTACCCTCTTAAGAGTGTAGGAGTGAGATTAAAAAAATGAAAACATGCTGCCATTGAGAAGAGAATACACATACACACCATTTCTTTTTTTTCCTCTTTTTTCTGGGTGTGTATACACTCTCGCACACACACACACAGGTGCACACTGACACAACCCCTAACATACAAACACACGCACACACACGCAGTGAGTGAAAAAGGCAAAGGGTTTGTAACAGTCACTCTACAGTGTGAAAAATGAGGCATCTCACTGAGTGAGGGGAGGTTTGTGGACACTTGGGAGGTGAGAAGAAGAGCGGAAAAAAATCTCCTTTAAGAAAGTGAGAGTTCTTGTAAGAGAGTTCCTGTCTCTATCTATCATCTATCAGTGTCTATCACTGTGACAGCTGCTGTGTCAGGCCTTGCCTGTGTTACTGAGTCCAGGTTTCAACCCCAGCTGTGGGTCAGACCCCAGCTCAGGACTAACCAGTCTGGTGCACCAGTGGCTGGTGATAGGGGGAGGTACAGCAGGGCCAGAGGCCAGCAGGACGGCTAAGTGCTTTTCTCAGTACAAAAACAAAACGCAGTTTTTAAAAACAAAAACAAACAAAAAAAAACCAGGAGAAACAATTAAGTTCTCTTATTTTGTTCTTCTACGTATTCAGTAAATCTTCTTTTTAAGGGTTTTGCCAACCACTCTTTGTTTCTTTCCTCTTTTTGGAAAGCTTCTACGTAATAAAAATGGCTGCTGAGCTTGACTTTGGCTGTGTCCACTCTCCAACTGGAACAGAGCAGGAGGGGTCCAAGGTTAGAGGTCGTGAGGTTATGAGACGAGAAGGATGAAGGATGATCAGGGGGAGCTAGAACTCCCACTCTGAGGGATCCTCTTTGCTGGCAGCCTTCTCCAGCCTGTGGATGATGTTATTGAGATTGGCTGCTTTCTTCTTGCGCAGATTGTTGTCCCTGGGGTTCCTGGCAGGGCCAGAGGCTGGGATGTTAGTACTAGAGGCAGAGCTACTGGAGGATGCCTCTGTGAGGCTGAAAAGCCCCAGTCCACCCTGTCCACCGCTGGAGCCCGGCCCGGCCAAGCCTGTGGCGGTGCAGTCTAACTGGGCAGGGGAATTATTAGAGCCCCCTGCCTCAGACTCAGCCTCCATGTCGTGGTCTTTGCATGCTCCTCTGTGATCCTCCAAGCCAATGCCCAGAGATTGGCGTGTCTCCACTGTGCCCTCAGATTCCGTCCCATCGCAGCTGTCCCCTTCTCCTGATTTGGACCCACGGAGGGAAGGTGATCCCGCTTCGCTGCCAGGCCCTACCCCTCCAGCTGCCTGGATCTCCTCTATGAAGAGCTCTCGCCGAATACGTGACCTAAGAGGGAAACATGAGTTCAGTCACGCTAATTAAATCCTGAAATTCAATTTGTGGAATACAATACACTCTACTAATGTCAAAATATTTTCGATGAACAGGGAACAGCTTACGCATTTGGACTAACAGTGCAACAAAAACACAATGTGATCTGGCAGAGTCGTACACAAAGATTTAGACAATTCATTTATCCGCAGATAAAGTCAAGACGAACCCACTAATGTATTTCAATAAAACAAGGAATTTGAACAGAGGTACTATTCACAAAGACATGAGATCCTTATCGTGTTAACTTCAGGTAAACTATATTTAATCCATCAGAGAGCAGCTAATAAATGCAGAACAACAGAAAGAATTTAGCAGGAGTCCATCTTTTTTTCTCCTAAATGCTGACCTGTAGTTATGGAACCAGTTGATAACAGTACTGGTCTTTAGGTTGAGCTGGGAGGCCAGCTCCTCAATGGTTTTGGGGGAGGGGTAGGGCTTCTGCTGATAAGCCTTTTTCAGAGCCTCCTTCTCCTCAGGGCCCAGCACCACCCTGGGCTTCTTCAGCTGCTGCTGCCCTGGGCTCTGGGAGCCCTGCATGTACTCTGACCCCACCAAGCCTCCGTCCACAGAATGGCCATCACTCAAGGAGCTCAGCCGCCTCTTCATGTATGCTGGATGGGAAAGAGGGAGAAATGGGTCATCCAGTGAATACATTAATAAATCTACAAATGAATGGGGAGTTTCAATGATAAAGCTGGCAACACCAGTAAAAACCACAGATGCAAACTACAGTGCATAACAGAGACATTTCAATACAAGTGAAGGATTACATTTAAAAATGCATAAATAGCTGTACCACATGACATTTAAGCAGTTATATAAAATGTGCTGCATTAACATATAAAGACAGCAGAGCAGCAGAGAGGTGGGACTTCAGCTGGAACATAAACAGGTAAAAGATTTGTCAGCAAGGTTTGCCATTCAATAAGAAAACACTGATTGCCTTTGAATTTCCGCTGTTAATGTGTAATCGTGTTTCCATCAAAAGCCCTGAGGCAGGAGATGAATTCTCTCTTCTCGGCAATAACCCCTATTACTGAGCTCTGAATCAGCTGCAGTTGAGCCAAGCTCAATGCAGATTAGCAAGATGATGACAAAGACTTGGAGTAATAAAGCTGCTCCGTTTTCATACAGCGTAACAGGTCTGACAACTAATGCCGCCAGCCTCCCAATCAGCCACTAGGTGGTGCTCTCGTCTTTCTCACCAGTTGTAACAATGAATGCATCTCTTCCATTTTACAGCAAACAAGCAGCACCGTTCACTCGGGGCGCCAGCAACTGAAAATGAACAGCTCATGGCAGCTTCGTATGAGGTTGACATTTTCCCAACCCCAATACATGCTGCCAGATACATTAGTGTTGCAGGGAAAAGCCCCTCAGAGCAAGGTTAGAGCGCTCTCAAACTTGTGCGCCGCCTCGCAGGCTTGCACCACAAGGGTGAGAGGTCAAATGTGGTAACTTTGGACTAGGTCCATGTCTTTCCTCTGGGCTCTGCTGGTAGCCAGAACTATTGCCCATTGCTATTTGGATGCATTACTCTTGGTCAATAATCTAACATGAAGCTGAATGTAGTGCAACCCCACCAGTCCAACCCCCCGACCACACAGGCGTTAGGTCAGTTGTGTTTTTCGCCCTTGTGCGTAGTTTGTGATATCAGCAGGGTAAGCTGATCCTGGACGGCTGTGCCCACTGGCAGGTTCAAATATCCATACCCTGTTTGCTTCAAGTGGGCAGTGCGGGGTCACTGTGAGGCAGCGAGGGAGGAGGGGGAGGGTTATGAAGCAGGCCTATTGGGGGTTTTTGATTCCTAAACGTATCCTCCTGACAGAAAAGAGTGCAGGATGATGGAGTGATGGAGCGGGCAATGGGCTAATAAATGATAAAAATACGAGCTTATAGACACTGATGATTATTATGTTGATGACGATGATGAAGAGTAGTGCTGATGACTGTGAGTAAGCAGGCCCCCGGCAGTCGCCTAGCTGTCACATTGAATACAGTACGTGATGTCTGCAGTCCTGATTGGTACTGACATCACACCAAGATGACTGTGATCTGCACAACATGCTCTGCTGTCCTGCACAAAGGATATTGTGTGCAGATGTGCATGTGTAATTCAAAGGCTGCTGCTTGTGTGTGGTTTTTTTGCTTTGTTTTTTTGTGAGCATATTTCTCAAATAAATGCATGCTTAAGCACAAAACATGAAAGGTTTTCTGAGCCTTTCGATTATTATTTCTGACAGCATGCTGTGCTGTATATAGAGTATGCATCTATTTCTACTCATTGAGCTTTTTGTTACACACACACACACACCTTTCTTCTCCAGGCGTTTCATGTCCATAAGTTTCTCCACGCTGTGTGGGTCCTGGAGCCAGAGCTGCATGCGGACAAAGGGCTCCCTGCCCTTCAGGCTCAGCTTGTGCCAGGGTTTAGGCCTGGCCAGCAGGTCTGAGACAGAACCCTGAGTCAGACCCAGGATAGTCTCCCCAAACAGACGCTGACCTGGTTTGGAGAAAGAAAATGGAACCAGTTAAACTACACAGAAAAGTACAACACCACAATTGAGCATAAGAGCAAAAGACAAACAAAAAAAAAAGGTCTTACCCAGGTTATTATCGGTTAGCACCTCCTTAACCTTCTTGGTGATGGCATAGGTATCAAGCTCAGGAGACATTGCAACCATCTCCTGGATGCTCAGACCCGAGTGACCTGGTAGAGGCAGCGGGGTGCCCGGCTGAGACTCCCCACCTGAAGGATCCTCAGACGGAGGTTTGAGACTGGAGGACTGTGACGCAAGTGGGTCCCCAGTGAGACCATTGACAGATTCTTCAGCTGAACTGAGGGGGGACTCTGGAGCGGGGCTGCAGCTTGCTGATGTCTTGGGAGTACCCTCTGCTCGAGCACGACACAGAATGAGAAAGTTCGCACAGGTTAGGCGACGTGTAACTATGCGAGGCGACACTAGTTTCATCTCCTCTCCCTGCTGGGTTCAGGAGGGACTTCAGTCAAATTACATCGACTAATTTAACTCCTGTTGAACAAACAGCAAAGGTGCTTAAGTTTTCAGTTTGAAGCCTTTTTGGCTTCCTCCTCCTATTCCTTCATCTCCCTGTCTCTGTCTGTGTAGTGCCGCTGTGCAGCTCAGCAGGCTGGAAGAGAGCAGTCATGAGGAGCTGTCAGTGTACATTAGCTGCTGTTTACACCCCCAGAGAGAAAAAGAGACACACACGTGCATGTACGCACACGCACACATACGCGCAGACACACACATGCAGAGCTGCCATCTGGCGCTGCAACACTAACTTGTCTATGACATGACAAACCAGCAGCTTGCTGGCTGACACTGCCACAGCACTGGGGATGTGGGGGGAGGAGGGGGATAGTGGGAGGAGAAGTGAGCAGGAGGGGGGAGACGGTGGGTGGGATGGAAGCAAGAAGGACGAGGGGGATGAGGAGGAGGGCGGGTGGGGTGAGTGACAGAGTGACAGTAACAACTAGCCACTAGCTCTAATCAGGCTTTCAGAGTAGCGTTCCAGCATAATATATGGTGTGTGTCGGTGTGTGTATTTGCATGTGATTTGTTTACCTTGGTTCTGAGTTTGCTGGATGTGTGCGTTTTGCCCCTGGTCTCCGTTGAGCCAAGGCTGCATGCGGAGGTACGCCTCTCTGCTCCTCTGGTTCAACTTGTTCCACGGTTTGTGTCGAGACAGACTGTCGGTCAGTATACCCTAAACCCCGCGGAGGGAGAAGACTTCAGACGTGCAACCAATGGACAGTCAAAGCAAAGCCATGAAACTCTGGAACTGCCCCTAAACCTCACCTCTTTAGAGTCCTCCTGGTTGTGGTTCTCTTCTCCTATCTGGCTGGACATGGTCCTTCGCGGATCCGTCTGCATGTTGCTCCACCACTGCTCTCTCCAGTAACCTGCTCCTCCGGCACTTCCGGAGCGGGACAGTCCCTCTGAGCCCCGACCCATCCTGAGAGCTCCATCAGCAGACATATCGACCCCCGAAGAGCTGCGGCCCTCTCTCTTCACGCTGGAGCTAAAGTCCAGAATTGGAGACGGGGATGAGGGCGAGGACAAGAGGGAGCTGGGAGGTTTCTTGAGGGAAAGGGCCAGGGGGTTGTAAGGGGGAAGCGGGGCGGTAAGAGATGAGCTCAGGATGTCCCTCTGTGATAGTGACACTGATGACGAAGAGGAAGATGATGCTTTAAGGATGGGCTCCAGTGCGGCCTGTTGGGCTTCCATCTCCCTGCGAGCTTGTTCTAGGATGGAGCGGATGGCTTCATCTGATCCGCTCCCCCCTCCACTTCCTATTCCACCTCCCCCTTTCAGTCCTGCATAGGACGGCTGAGCATGAGACAAGTCTACAGAGAGGAGAAAAACGGCCTTCATTACAGACACAGCCATCATGGGCACCTTAAATGCCCCGGAGAAGACGGGGGGGAAAAAATTAAATAAATAACTCCAACTTACCAGCTTTCTGCACCTGCAGCTCTCTTTTGGCCTGCTCCAGTATGGACTTGATAGCTTCATCAGAACCTGCCTCTGGGGTGCGCACACGAGCGGTGATGTTACCTGGAAAGAGAGGATGAGGGAATGGGAGGAGACGGAATACCTCGTCAGATTAAAACGCTGGGAATACTAACAGAACAGATAAAGAGGAGACGCTGATGGAAGAATTACACCATAGCACAGCACAAAGAACAACATTCCCACCACTGAGCTTCAAGGCAACTACACTGGAGGGATTGTCATAATTTCTCAGGTCCCTTTAGAGCTTGCACATGCACACGTGCTGCAGGGTTCGTATAGTAAATACTCCCCGCAGAATAACAACTACCAATAAAATCCCTAAATACACATGCTGGCTTTTCCTTTGACGCAAGTCACTGAAACTGTGCGGTTACCTTCAAGGCACATTTATATCTGTATGCCTGCCCGCAATTAATATATGGCGACATAGGCACACACAACACAGAAACATCCCAACACAAACATGCCACACAGACAGAACGTGCTAGAATCTCCGTGTGTGAAGGGGACAGACCTGTGTGTGAAGCTGTATCGGAGAGGGTTCTCCGCTTCGGAGCGTCCTGAAACACTCGGCTAAGCTGGGGCTGGCCTGAGCCCTCTGTTAAAAACAATATACCACACACTATGTTACAGCACTTGTGTGTTTTTTTCCTTTTACAGCTAGACTAAATGGTGCCTTACAATGCTCTGCAAACATAATAAGTGTCTGTTCCTTCCAATGCACATTATATAGTACCATAAATGCATTGATCTTAACCATCTGTGGCCCAAGTAGGATTCCAACTTCTACCTCCAAAAGTTATAATAAAGCCACCACAGAGACGGCCTAGTGGCAGCTATCAAACATGGGAATACCAACATGGACCATCTATGACTCGCTGGCAAATTGTGGTATATTTTTTATGTACCTCTGAGACCAACTTCAATCAGCAATGTCTTGATGCGTTAAGAAAGGCAAGCCCAGGCTAATCGAATCTACCCGTAGTTAACAGTACCCCTGCCTTTCTCCTAGTTCCCACCGATCAATACTATTGATGTGTGAAAGGTTTCTGTATTGACCACGATAGCTAGGAGAGGCTCTTGGGATCAGTGCGTGACTAGGAGCTCATTCAAAAAACACAGGTGGGGCACAGAATGGGAGTTAGGAAAGAGAAAGAAAAATAAAAAAGCTAGTCCATATTGACAAGCTAATCAGTTGCTCTATGCAGGGCTTTACACACATACACACAACATGCAAGACACACACACTCCCCCACGCACAGACAACAATACAGGAACGCAGACTCACCTCTCTGCCGTCCCTGGATGCTGCGCAGAGCGAGGATGTTCTGCTCATCGGCGAGGAACTGCCTCATCTTGTGGAACGGCTCCTTCCCCCTGATGGTTAGCTTGTTCCACGGCTTTGGTCTGGCCAAGATCTCGCTGACTGATCCCTGGGACAGTCCCAGCACATAATGACCAAACACACGCTGACCAATGTTGTGCTTGATCAGCTGCTCTTTCACTTGCCGAGCAATCTCCGCTGTGTCCATGTCCTCCCCGTCCAAAACACTTCCTGTATTAGCATCAGAGTGGCTTGGTGATGGGGAGGGGGCGCTGCCAGCTGTACTGCTCCCGTTAACAGGAGCCATGTCAGGGCTGGCTGGAGGTGGCTGGGGGCTGCTGGCTGCTAGAGGGATGGCAGCAGACCCTGAGCCAGGGGTGGAGGTAGGGATGGAGCTGAGGGTTGGCGTGAAGGGGGTGAACAGTAGAGCCCCACTGGGGATTCCAGAGGACTCCTGCAAGGCTTTTGAGTAGAAGGTCTGGAGCAGCTGCCGCTGAATCAAGGAGTTCAAAGCCATCTTACCACCCACCAGAGGGAAGACGGGGGAGTAGAAGTCCTGTCCAATGCCCGTAGGAGCGAAAGGGAGCGTTTCACTGCTGTTGCTGCTGCTGCTGGTGGTGGTGGTGGCAGTGTTGAGAGGGTCCGTGTGAGTGCGAGACAGGGGGCGCTGTGAGGAGGACGGAAGAGAGGGAGGGGGAGGAGGGGGTGAGGAAGAGGGGTCGCTTGGCGCGGTCTCCTCCTTCGCTGTGGACTCTTCTGTCCCTTTTCGCCCGGCTGACCCTACAAGAAAGGTCAGACACACCATGCATTATGGGGGGAGTCAACAAAAAAGGGGTTCCAAAACGAGAGAGAAAAAATAAAATAACAAACGTTGAAAGTTGTCTTAATCAAGTCTTTTTCAAATTAGTGAACTCTGTTTCCTTTTTTGCCAACCCCCCCAGGCAAGTGCCCATGCATTTGTGATTTCAACCTTTCTTGTAAGCCACAGCCTGGAGGGAAAAAAAAAGGACAAACAAAACAATTGACACTGTGCCACTTAGGCAGATTAGCTTGGCCCAGGGCTCAGTCTCTTTTTCCCTCTCTCTCTGCTGCAGGCAAAGCAGAAGTAACTGGACAGAGCAAGATGATGTCCTTAGATAGCCAATACACCAAGTCCTCTTCCATGCTGCTGCAGTGTGTCCTTACACACCGATTTATTCCATTGTAGGTGTAGTAACATTGTTTTTAGTCCAGAAAAATACATCCAGGTGAAAAAACATAAATAAATAAAAAAAACTTCTGAAATTAGTTTGGCTTAACAGAAAAAAGACGCATGTCACCAAAAGACAGACTGCACAGCTCTGCTGACTCAAAACAAAGGCCCTCGGCTGCTTGTCTCCTAGAGAGTTCTACTGAATACATTTTTCTATTCACCAGAACAAATACAGACAAAAAATATATTTTCTCAGTCTTGTAACTACTAGAACCCATCTTGATAATAATCGCTGGGAGAAATATTATTCTAATGCATAACCATTGAGACTTAACATGATTGAGTAAGACAGTAAGCTCCTCTCACTGTGAATGTTAATCAATTCAAAGCTATTCAGCTATTCATGCCTAAAGCCATGACATTTCAAACCCATAAACACTGTTGCAGAGGGCAAGAGTCCTAATGTCGGGGGCATTGCACGTTGTCCTCGTTCTTGTGTAATGCGGCTCCGTTACCGTTCAGGTTGACCTCCTGCTGGGGTATTTACAAAACACCAAAGATGCCTTTTCCTCCCTTCCATGAAGAGCGGGACTACACCAGCAACATTTCCAAACCATGAGAAAGTTTTGCATGACTTTTGCATTATTTTTTTTTTCGACCAATGAACCTGTACATGTGGGCTGCTGTGGTGCAAATAATTCCGCAAACATTACGAGTTAAGTATTCTCAGAGAAAGACCATCTATATGCACACAAGATTGTATGCACTTCCCTGATGACTTGAACTGCAGCTAAAGCCTCATAATCTCCCTTGACCTTCTCTCTTTTTTTTGTTTTGTGAAAGCAGTTTGTCCGGTGTCGATGAACCCGGTCCTTACAGCAACATAAGACTTACCGCTGAGCTCGGTGTTGGCGATGCGCAAAGCGGCGCTCTCCGATTGAAGACTTCGGTTCCTCTCCAGTAACAGAACCTCCAGGGGTTTGGATGAGTCCTGGCAGAAAGGAGATCAGAAACAGAGGGGGAAATTAAAGCTTTTGACACAGCTTTTCTCCAGCCTCTCCTCTCAGATGGTCATGTTTACTGATCTAGTTGTGCAATTTTTGCTTTGTCAATAACTTAGTGGCTGCAACCTCAAGTCTACAGTCTGCTGCTTAGTCTTACCTGCACAGAGTCGGATGCTCCAAACTCCATAGCCTTGAGGATACTGAGAAAGGAGGGAGGGAAAAAAAGCAAGCATGAGAAAACCGCCAAATATACACAAACACACAGGATGCTAACTTTTCTATGTCTTTCTTTTTAATGACAAAGAGCGAGACTGACGATACAAAACTACAAACACAAAGGCTTCGCCTACGTAAGGGCACCCAATTGAGTTACCCACATTAAATGAAGAGACACATCTTCTGTTTACTGCACGTGTCTAAAGACATCAGACTCGTGCAATAAACAGATCTGTACAGGACACACAAATGCCTGTGTTCACTCCTCACCTCAACTCCTTCTTCACCTCCTCATAGTCAGCTTGCTTCTGCAGCTTCTCCTCCAGCTCCTACACATTGCAAAGATGCAACAAAGACAATTAAAACAATAATACAAATCAACACTTGGATCTCAGTAGATCCTGCGTTTCTATTATTTACTTAACTCTACACAACGAAGGGTGTAAACTGGTGAATAGGGTTAAGCAAACGGGAAAAAGACAAGCTACGTAAGTTAGTAAAACTTACGTAGCTTGTCATTATAAATGAAAAGTTAAAGTGGCTTCCAACCAAAATCAGATGTTTGTTGCGTTGGTACCTTCAGAACTTTGGATTTGCTGCTAAGCTGCTGTTCCAGCTGTGAGATCTGGGAGCTGGTGGTCTCTCGGAGTTTGGTCAGGCTGGCCTGCAGTCTCTGCACATCTTCCACCAGCTGGGCAGTCTCTCTTTCTTTGGCCCTGAGCTCCGCCTCCAGATTTGAATGGGACGCCACCTCTTCCAACTGTTCCTAAAGTCCAAAAAGTTAATTGAGTAAGTCTCCAGCCACATATAGTCTCAAGTTCTATCAAATGAATAATTTCATCAGTGGATGTTTTGTGTGAAACAAAGCTGATCAATATTGATTATCTTGTCAAAAGGCTTACTTCTTCAGATTCATAGCCACAGATGATGCAATCAATCACAATCACTTCATACCAAAGGAAAGTAGATAACTTTGGCGGAACAGTAGTAGCTGTACACTAACCAAGTCCCATGTCTGCAAGCTATTGGTTAAATCCAATAAATCAGTTAATCCATATACCAATCACATCTTACTTCTTAAGGAAGCTTAACTGGTTACTCCAGCATCTGACCTTTAATACCAGTGACTAAAGTCTATCCATAAAGTGAGGCTTAAAGCTATAGTCACTAGGGAGACCAGGGCACGGCAATAATTACTGTGACCAAATGCAGTGAACCAGCAATCTGGTCTGCCACCACTCGCAGTCAGTTGCCATCTTTAAAGCAACTTGCATTAAGATGGTAATAAAAAGGCAAAAAGACTCTTGCTGTGATCAGTGTGTAACTGAATGGGTTGATTTGGCAATTACATAAAATCTGTTTGTGATAATGGTGATCAACTGTGGCAAATCTATTGGCATCTACATACAACGAAACTCACATTATCTACTCGTAATCAGAATTCAGTCAGAACCTCATGGATTTGTAACAGAAATGAAAATGTTCCTCCACAAATAATGATATAGTTGCTGCAGGACAGTGATTTAAAAATGATGATGTGCACAACCTAACATATATACAGAAATATAACCAGAAGCAGGCAACCACTTGAGCCAAGCTCCCAACTGCAGAGACGGGCAGCTGAGTTGCGTTTATCGGCACATGCTCGCTCAGACTGCCAACACATTGCAATCAATCTGTCTGTGTTTAAAAATTAAATGGCAATTATTTGCAAACCTTCACCAATCTGTCAGAGTGATGGCAGTCGGTCCGAGCTGGACTGTGTGTGTTTGGAGACAGGCTGCCTCCCACAAGGGGATCTGTGCAGTCGCCTTGCGATCAAAAGTGGTCTGCTAAAGGTCGATGGTGTTGCATGCTCAGCCTTTGGATGATCAGTTTGTTCCAGCAACGACTTGCAAAAGATTTATTTAAATCACTGAGCAACCGCCTATTTTTCCTAGTGGCAAAGAGGTTGCCACCCTATTTTTACTCTAGTGTGACTGAGCCATTAATCAGTCTGTCAGTGTAGCATAAAAAGGCCAAGCTGATCTTTAGCCTATCAATCCAGTGAATGAGTGAAACGTGTTACCGTGTTTGGGTCAGCCTTGGCCGGGCTGCTGAGCTGCTGGGATTGGTTGCTCAAGGACAGCTGCTCTCTGACTGACTCTGCCTCTCTCTGAGCTGCTTCTGCTCGCTGGAAAGAAAAAGAAAAGGAGAAACGTTCAGGGAAAATCCTGTGTCGCAGGTTCCTACAGTTAAAACACTATTAATCTAAAGTTTAACGCAGATCACTTCTGTGTGAGTTCAGTGTTAATTTTAATGTACACGCTTTCCCGTTTTCCCTACTCAACCTGTCTCATTTTTTCCGCTAGCCCTGGAGAAAAAATTAAAGAGCTATTTAACACATCCTTCGAGACAGACAAAATGGGAATAGTGAGCCCAAGAAAGCGGGAATAAAAGTTTTTGTTCATATGCAAAACCCCTCCCCTTTTACTCTGTTTAAAATCTGTCAAATCGGTGACCGTTGCTCATTGACAGCAAAGACATCTGTGAAGGAGAGGAGTACAATGCTGAATGCACAACACTAGCAATCAAACTGAACAAGTTTTTCAGTACACAATCTTCTATCAGTCAACTGCACTTTTTATTTGGAAAGCGAGTCAGCCCCTTTCAGCGTAAATAATGATATACTTCAGAGTGGAGGGTGGCTGGAAATGCGATGTACAAATTTAGAATGACAACCAAGAGCGAACATTTCCTTAATTAAAAATCTCAAGTTATTCCTGAGCATTGAGATGACACCCGCTGCCTGGTGTTTACTGCTAAAGTGCCGTGCTCCAGTAGGGAATCATCTACCACGCCGGCCAACTTGCCATCATTAGGAGTTACAGGGAGCCGATTCCACAGTGTTCCTAATTGCAACCATATTGAGAGCTGTTATTGACTGGGTGGGAGTTGGACTGCTAGTTGCAAAAGAAAATCCTGTTTTCCATTTTCTTCTTATAAAAGCATATAAAAAGTCTGTGACTGAGCTGGAGGCCATGCTGTCATCCTGTGTAAACCTCAAATCAGAAGTGTGAATAGAGTGTGTGTTTGTGTGTGCGGCATTATAGTCGGAGCGTTAACCTTTAGGCTAATATTAACATTACATGCCTATGCTACCCCTTTAACCACAAATCATACTCTTGGGCTAATAATGAAAGTTAACAACAATGACATTAACAGATACCACAGGAATATTTACAACACGAGGGCAGAGGGCAGACCGGGGGGCTTATTTCAGCTGGATGGGTTTAGTAGGTGTGTAATAAACAAGCAAAAGAAACAGCAACCCTCGCAGTGATAAGCAAGCCACATCTCATGGATTCTCAATAGACAGGAATATTTCGATATTTTTAAAGGTCTATTTTTCATGTCAACAAACCCACAATAGAAAAAAGACCAAAACCACCTTTCTGAGATTCTCTCAGCAACAGGCCCTCATGCTCTTTATGAAGGTTAAAGAACAGTTTCTTTAAAAAACAAAATAATATCCAAAAAATTATGCCCACTGTGACCTTAATCAAACCAAAGCACACTGTGCAAGTGTACTTATTATAATAGCTTATTAGAAATAATATTTATACAGCAAAGTGCTTCACATATTGGATAAAACCACACATTAAATATGTTTCAATGCCCCCGACTTACACAATTTCAAGCATATGGTCTTAAACACACCAACAATAAAAACATTTGTGTGACCAATATCGTAAAAATAAAGCGCAAGTATTTAAGAAAAAGTTAACCCGTTTAGCAGACATTTAAAACAAACCACAGATTTCTGAAGGATTTCGGAGACAATAAGGAATCCAAAGTTCAGCTGCTAAAAACCTCAAAGACTCAATTTAAAGTAAACGGTTAATCAGAGATCGACTGTCATCACAAAACACTCAAAATAAAAAGCAGGAGCCTGGCCATGCAGGACTTTGTATGCGATTCATTGAATTCAATTAAAATGAACGCTAAACCTCACTGCAATTAACATGGAGGGGTGTCAAACACAAGGCTCGGGTGCCACAATCAGCCCGGCAAAGTAAGAGATAAACAATTAAAGGACAGAAAGTCCCTATCAACTATTTTTCTGTTGACAAAGTTTCTTTTCTTTTTTTTTTCTTTTTTTTTTTTTTTTTTTAAATGGGTCCACAATAAAATAAATGACACACAGTGGATGTGTGTTAGCACAATAAAAAACTTGTTGGTGGTTTGGTCATGTCACATTTGTTTAGAGGAAGCTAAAATATAAAATATCACTAAAATAAATTGTTTTAAATCGGTTTACCTCATGTTTGCCTCCACAACAATTTCAGCCAGCATTTGTTTGGTCTACAATTTAACAATGAAACTTGTGAAGACAACTTGGACAGTGTTGCACTTAAACAAAAAAAAATAATACTATTCAGTATTAAACCGAGCGGGCTACCTGATTGGCTCTTTCCAGGTCTGTCATCAAGATCTCAATCTCATCCGCCCTAAGAGACAGAAAAACATGTGTTGTTACTTCAGATAAATGCACAGAGGATATAAAAAAAACAAAAAAACAAATATGGATAAATGAATGATGATGACTCGCAGAAAGAGAGGTGCACAGATTTAGAGCATCCCGGTACGGTGTCCATTGAGCTACTGTCTAAATTTCACCTTAATCCATTGATTGTGAACTCCATAACCCAAACAGCTTGTATATGTGCGTGCATACATGTATTTAAATGTGTGTGTGTCTATGAGTGTGGGTGTGCACATGTAAGCCCCTAAACCCAGGCCACACTAAAACAGAGGGATTACATTAATAGAGCTCTAAGTCCTAATACAGCAGACTAATCTGCTATGAAGCTGTGTGATTGTGTCTGACTAATGGTCTGGATGGAGGCCATGGTTCACCTCTCACTTGCTAGAGGTCAAACAGCAAGAATACATCCCCGTAATACCACCTCTCATTGGACTTTGGGAAAAATATTTTAAATAATCCCTCCATCGTGAGAGACGTGGATACCTGGCACTTTTCTGTGAACAATGAGCGGGAACTGAAGAATACAGAAGCGCAGCGAATGTTAATATTTCGTAATGACGACTTTAACTTTGAGTTAAACTACAATTGCCTTTCTGTTTTTGAGTTTTCAACATGCGTGAATATGTTTCCCAGCACGAGGAGGCTTTGGAAATAGTGACCTCACCGATGGTCTATAACGCAATGCAACGACATGGCATAAATGCGTGCGTGTTTATTTAAGACATTCCTCGCTGATAAGAATACGCGAGTGGCACCGAGTGGAAAGGCGTGAGGCGCATATGTGCACTGCGCGTCCATTAAGACCTTTTGATTTTATTGCAATCTTTTGATAGTGAACCCAGTAGCCCACGCAGCTTTTGTATTTGTGTGTCACAGTATGAGAAACAGTGTTATGTCCCATAGGCTTGAGTACTACTGATTTGAATGTGTTTAACAAAACAGACACAGTTGATATTAGGTCAACATTGTGCCACAGGCAATGCAGCAAAAAGAATCAGATGTGGGTGGGAGAGCTTTTCACTCTCCGCTTTTATTCTTTCCCTAACAGTTAAAAGGATCTAGTATGTATTTAAGCAAACATAATAGTACACTACCTCAACAGCTTTTATCCCGTCTTAAGCTATAGTGTGCAGGACCCGCAAGCGCACTCAAATCGCGCACCCGCGCACACAAATGTTAAGGTCAGAGAGCCAACAAGCTAGAAAAGCTTGTAATGGAGAGCGTTTATGGGTAGTAATGCAACCCAAATACACCACCGCTCCTGCTCCAAATGTGATCATTTAATCAAAGTACAGATGCACAAAGTCTTCTTAAATAACCTTTGGATTTGGCTGTATTTGGGAATTATAAAGGCAAAGCTAGAGGCTGAGGGCCAAAGCAGATCACAGGGAAGGGATTTTCTGCATATCCTGATACAGTCAGTCAGTCAGTCAGTCGCTGGGCAGGGCAGGAACTGTCCGTGGCCCGCCAATGCACCCGCTGGAATGACTTCATCAAACACTGGAGAGTAAATGGGGGGGGGGGGGGGGGTCCTTCGTGATGATAAAGTCTGATTTTATAGCACCCAAACTTATCTATAAAACACCATACAGCAGCCACAGGGAGGAGCTATAGAGTAGATACACAGCCAAAATGGAAAAAGCACACAATCAGCGCACACTCAAACACACTTGCACACACTCTTTTGTACCATGAAAGCCAATGGGTGCACCCAGTGACATCAGTGAGTACTATAGGACTTCTGAAACAAGCCCAGAGCCTCTGAGGCCCTACTGTACTTCCTCCATCTCAGACAGGCCTTTTCATCTCCTATCATCTTCTCTCTTGCTCCTCACTCAAGCGCTCCTTTTCTTTTCCACCCTTTGCCTGCCTCCATCCTTTCCCCCTCAACCGTTGCCTTCCCATCGCCCTCCACTTTTTTCACCCCCTCCTTTCATCTTTTTCTTCCTTCCACCTCCCCTCTCTCATCTTTCGCCCTCTCTTCCTCGGCCTCTGTCCTCGGTGCCAGCAGGATATTCCCCTGATTTAGATTTTCATTTCCCTCCTCTATCGCTCTCTTATCCCCTCTTCCTCGCTGAAGCCTCCGGCCCCTGGCTCGCTTTTTGCCCTCCAGCTTTCATCACTCCATTCCTTTTCTTTCCTTGGCTTTCTCCACATTGCGTTTTCACAGCGTGTTACCTTGGGGATTTCAAGGAGGCTTAAAAAGAAGCTAGCTGTGAGACCGTGTCTGTGTGTATGTTGTGCGCCATTTTGTGTTGTTGTGTGCTTGGGCTGGACACCGGAAAGAAAGCCCTATTGACCGGTGCCTAATTATCGGCAATTAAACGGATTTTAACCAAAATGTTATCAAAGCCTCCTACATGCAGATAAAGCTATGCGCAAACATACAGAGGAGTCTCCGCACACTCAGCTCACACACTCACACACACATACACACACAAAGCATCCTGTGGGGCTGGAGATCAATATATCATTAATCTTTAACAGGGACTAAACGGGTAAAATGCGGCCAAGCCAGACCCTCACAGCGTCGACACAGAGAAGGGGGGGGGGGGGGGGGGGGGCTACGCTACATCTGCAGGCCCGCCTCCCGCTGAAGCTGAGACTCTCCGGGCGCTGCAATCATCGACCAAATTCTCAGGGAGTGTGTTTGTGTACGTCCACGGGTGTTTGTGAGAGTGAGTTAGTGCTTATTTTAAAAGGCAGATTACCCAAATGCAGCGAGAGGATGGGGGGGATTTGTCACGCAATGTCCTCCTTAGTGAAAAGTTCAGAGCGAGTGTGTGCGTGTGTGCGCGTTTGTGTGTGTGTACCCGCACGTGTCTGTGCGCTTGTGAGGAGAGAAGCGCATGATATGTATGTATGCGTTTGTGTTTCGCAGTGCCAAAATGTATGCAGTTAAAGGGTTAAAAGTTGTGTTCAGCCAAACACTGGCGATTTGCTCAGCCAAGCAGTAAACGGGGGAAGGACTCCAAGGACTGGGAGGGTGCAGGGTTAGAGAGGGTTTGTGTGTGCTTTAAAGCGTTGCATTAAAATTTCAGATCACAGCACGCCACATAGTCAAGGACCCTGACTGCCTCGGGCTCACGAGTGAGTGAGCGAGCGAATGAGTGAGTGTATACTTGTACGTGTGTGTGTGTGTGTGTATTTATGTGGGTGGGCATGTGTTTATTAGCTTCTGTAAGCAAATGGGACCTACTATAAGTGTCTTTTCAAAAAGTGTTTTCTTCTGACATAAAACGAAGAGACAAGGACGCCAAAAGAAAGCGTAAAGAAATGTAGGAAGAAAAAAAAAAAAAAGAAGAAGTGCAGGAAAGGGGACGGGGGGAGGGAGGGCCTTCTGATAGACTATGAAACATATTGATTAGTGCTATTACACCGTGTGCAATTTCGTCCTGTGGTCTTTCCTCTCACACTAAAAAAAACCAAACACCTAATGCAGGAGACAAACGACAAAGTGTGCGAGTGAGCGAGGTAAGAGGGAAAAAAGGAAAAAAACAGGGAGAAAAAAAAAATTGTGAGGAAGACAGAAGAGGGATCGATTTGTTTTTAACAGCCAATCAATTTAACAACTCTGTTAGTGGAGAGGCACAGTGAGTTTGGGGCCAGGTAAATGGGATGGGGTGGCGATGGTGGTGGTGGTGGGGTGGCCTTAAAAGCCAAGTTGATACTCTCCCGTACTTTGTGTATGAACACAGGATGCCCTTGACCATTTTATTATCAGTCCCTGGATTTAGCCAAAAGAGCTCATATTTCAGCCAAGGCAGGGTGATCCCCCCCTTCCCCGGAAATGTAATTTTTCAGCTTTGCGTATGCGATTCTGGTGCTCACGAGGTTCTGGGTCCTGCTGCTAACCCAGAGGGAACGAGGAGTGTGAATGTCATAAAGTGCCACTTCACAGTGCGGAGTGCTGACATGGAAAAGCTTCTGTTCTCATCCTCAACACTACTATAAGATCAATAATGATAGATGCCCAAAGCTCGACTGAAGCCATCTCATCTTACAGGTCCTATTAGAAAACATATGTAGCTTTCAATCTGGCACCTCTCTATCAAGTCTCTGATGAAATCTGAAAGCTCTTTACCCCATTAAGACATCAGGCGCCTATATAAGACTTATACGTACATATCAGGTCTTAATGGATTAAACAAAACCACACACACATCCGCGCGCACAAAACAAACTCTATTTTGATGTTTTCGTTTGGCTGCAGAATACATTACAATCCCTTTCAGTATTTACAGTGCATGGGTAATGCCGGGATTTGGAGGCTGCTGGCTGTTGTGGGAGAAAATCCAGCTGTTAGGGAGAGAAGGGGGAGTTTCCATGCAAGGAGATTCACTAAACAGGATGATTATGTCAGGAGGAGAGTATGGAGGAGCCAGAGGGGAGAAGTCACCCGCAAACACACATAGATCAGTGAGGCACGTACTTTGCTGTGGATTCCTCGTCATACTTTGTCTTCAAATCAAAGAGCTCGGCCTGAGTTGTTTCAAGTGCTGCAAAAGACGGTGAGAGACAGTTAAGGGTTTTCCTGGTGCAAAGTGAGCTGAAGAAGCAGATCCAGACATGAGCGATACTTTTTAAAAGAGCATTAAAGGTGTAAACATTATCTTTGACAGCTTCTTACTACTAAAGTCTTATTTCACACGAGAAACTTTGGCATTTCTGTTTCTCAGTGATGACAGCTGAGATTTTCTTAGATCTCCAGGCCTCGCAGACACCTAGTCCAGATGTGTCAGATTAACTATGAGTGTTAAACATAATAATCACCAGTAGCTGTTTTTTTTTTTTAAACTCATTTTCACAATGGGTGAACATTTATTGAGAAATAGAGAGGAATAGAGGGAATCTATTATGATTTCCTTTTTTCTGTCACACAAAGGTGGATGATCACATTACAAATGACAAGTTTTAAGTAATATGGTCGGTGTATGTGGATGTAACCCTATGAGCCCAAAGCTCCGGTTAAATATATTCTTTTTTTCTACTTTGGGATCTGCATGATATCACTGAGAGGGGATATCCTTATATGGTCATCTCGGGAACGCAGCTTTGCCTGGGAGCACAGACGCTCCACCCACCTGATGTTTCAACCCTTCTATTTGTCAGTCTGAAGAAAGCTGGATTAAAGGGAGGTGGAAGGGAGCTAAAACAGCTTGTTTCAGGACAGCAGAATACAGGGCTTCACGGGTTTAAGGTAAACAAAGATGACGCTGAACTTTTAAATCATACAAAGCTACTCTACAAAAGTACAGGGATAAAAATATGGAACTGGAGATTAATATAATAAGTCCCCTTTAAGAAGTTTTCAAAGGCTTAATAGCCAGCCCAACTACACTTTCAGTGATAAGAGCACTTTATCTAAAGGTGGGTAAACAATCCCCAGGTGTGTACAGGCTGCGTAGGCTGGTACCTGTCTGTAGGGACCGGGCTTTCTGTTCGGCCTCCTCCAACCTTGAGGACATGGAGTCCTGGCTCTCCTGGAGTTTCCTACAAGAGACCAGGTAGCAGAAAGTCACAGTCAGTCAAGAGATACTGAGTCAGTAAATTCTGAGCTCACACTTTGTGGCAACTGCGACTATTCTCTATTTTCCCACCATTTCTGAAGTGTTTTCCACCCTAAAATCCTCCCAACACAACCCACTCCTCATTAAGCAGCCCTATTAGGCAGGAATGTCTGGCCACTGGGGCACACTGCACCCAGGGGGGAGAGAGAGAGAGAGAGTGCGCGAGGCTTGACTAAGGGAGAGGGGGGAGGGGGCGACAGAAACCACAAGGATAAAATAGATTCATTCTTAGCATATAAAAAGTTGGGCTCTGCTGAGAAATTGCCACTGCGTGTAAAAACATCAATAATCTAGCACAAAGATGGTCTTTATGGCACTCTTTGATGCCCCCCTTCCCCGCCAATCTGTCTCTCCTGTCATCTCTATTTTTCTGCCCTCTACTTCATCCTTTCATCTCCCTCACTCTCTCTACCCTTCGCTCATTCCTTGCAGGATGAAATGCATCGGAGGTGCCATCCATTTACTCCCCCCCCCTTCTCTCTCAGACACAGGAAGTCAGCTCACTGCAGACAGGAAGGGGCCCATAAAACACTGACGTACAGGAAATACAATTGGACAATTGATCTTCTACTGTACGTATGAAAGGGACAGTGAGCTTTAATACAGCTTCGTCAAACAAACGAGATGACTGACAGGAGGAAAACGTGCTTTGTAAAGTCCATTTCATATTAGTAAACTGTATACGTCAACTTGAAATGAGGACTTTCATCAGAGGGATGGTGTTTTAAAGACTGCAAGCAGCTTGTAGCTTGGAGAAAATCCATAGCGTTCAGTGCATCGGGTCTCATTCGCTTAGAATTACAGCGGAGACTGTTTGGAGTCAGTATATCATTACTAAATCTGCATGGTGAGAGTGCGATTTAGTAGTAAAACTGCATATTAACATGCTTGAAGAGGAACTCCATACTGTGCAGCTGAGCACTTGTGACACGCTGAATTTAATCTGTTAATTCTGTCGGTCTCAAACTTTCATTTCATTGCTGATAAAAACGTTCAGGTCTGACGCATCCATCAGAGCTTTTTTAGCTCTTGTTCTCCCTCAGTGAAAATATGCTGTGTCTTTAAGCCCCGAGGCTGCAGCGGCTAATCACATGAAGCCTCATCACTCAGATGTCTGCACATCTCTTTTTTATTTGATTTGATTACTTCAAAATAAGAGCACACATTATCCAAGTTAATATGGGATCACAAGATAGCTTAAACTAGTTACTGTTTTTTGGGATCCAATGTAGAAGCAAAGGAGCCTGAGTTAGTTGTTACGTGAAACAATATTCCTGCCTCAAGTCCATTATACTTTAGGCCAAATTGGCCCTTTTCTGGAAAATGGCAGTATTAAAGCATTTTAGCCTCACTAAGCAGTTTTTTTTAAATGTCCCTAAAGCATCCGGAAGCATTTTTTGAGCTTATTACTGCCCCCGTCTTCCTGTACACCTGAAAATTACACACTTTAACAAAAAAAAAAAAACATTGTATTGAAATAAAGTAGTCTTTATCAGCAAAGCATATTTTTGCACAGCAGAGGCCCATGGCAGCAAAATATCCAACATAACGGCTGAAAAGTATCTTGGTAAACAGAAAATGGGAGTGGATGGTGTCGATTCCCATCAAAGCGAGAATGGCAAGCGCCCACATGACAAAAATGCTGGCATTGTCTTTTATGCAAGTTATCTCCATTCCTACATTTGTGCGCAGGAGGAAAGCAATAAGCAACAATTTGTCGATTAGACTGATAACTACTGAAAAAAGAGAAAAGAAAAAAAAAAGAAAAGAGCCCTTGGAGATTTGCTTAAGTAGGAATTAGTAAGTTGTGAACAGAGAGCCCTGCTAAATAAAGTCTGAAATCTTAAACCTATCATTCAAAGATAAGAATCAGCAGTTCTGCCTGAGGGCACAATGACCCAAAGCATTCAAACTGCAAAATAATGCAGAGGTTATTACTTTAAACACAGCTGCAGCAGCGCACATACGCACATAAACATGCGCAACTTTTACCTCTCCTTCTCTGCATAGTCGTTGTGTAGCTGGAGCTGCTTCTCTTGGGCCAGGTTCTCGGCTTGATTCTTCAGAGACTGCTCGTACTCGCGAATCTTCTCCTTCAAGGCCTTAATGGTCACCTCTGTGGAAGAGATTAGAGCAAAGAGGCGAGCACCGAGAGAAAAGAAGTCAGAAACGTGAGTGATCTAGATAGAAAACACAGACAGCAAACTATGGCACTTTTCTATATATCTGATATAAAATAGCAGTGACGATGTTTTTAGCGAGGTGTTTGACCTTTGCCTAAGAAGCAGCATTTCACATCCTGCATTCTTCCTCTGTGAGCACAGATGAAGACCTTGTCCCCCATGGCCCCGGTCTAATCTTTGAATCCGCAGCTGCCGTAGAATATTCAACTATCACTAAGAGCAGATATGCTGCATTCATTAGGACTGCATTAGTACCGAAACCCCATAACCTGCTGCCGGCTGAGCGCTGTATGGGGCAGCCTGAAATAAATCTAACACATAACTGGAGTAATAAATAGTCCTCCCTGTGTGTGTGTGTGTGTGTTTCTCAGAGAAAGATATAAGTGAGTGAGACAATGATATAACGCATTGCTGCTCGCTACCTTTGACTGAGGGCTCTTAGCACTTTGTGTGTGTGTGCGTGTGATTTAAACTCCAGTCTCACTGCTCTGACACATAATCAATAGAGGAGAGTCCCCTCAGAGCCCTCTTACCCCTTAACTGCTTAACTGAACTTTAAACATTTAGGTTGCGGGGATCAATGGCCCCTGCACTCTGTGTGTGTGTGTATGTGTGTGAATGTGTGTGGTGTGTGTGTGTGTGTGAGAGAGAGTGTGCGGGCGGATCCGCGTGTGTGTTTAACAGGAGTGGGAGTTCCACAGTGTGTTTTGGGGTTTAAATATCCCCCATCTATTGAGGCGGGAAGGAGGGATAAAGGATGAGGGAACAGGAAAATCAATGGCAGAATGGAACCCTGCCGCTATCGAGCTGTTCCAATTAACTCTCACTGAGGAAAGGGGGATTCCAAAACATTCCCCCGTTCGCTCGCTCACTCCTCCTTTTCGACTGAAATTACACCACTTTTTATTACCGCTTCTCACTCATCTCTCCCCGCTGTTGTCAGTTTCTCCATCTTTAAGCGGATGTAGATCATTGCATTTTTATTTTTTTTTTTTTACATTCCTCCAACTCTGTCACGTCTTTTTCATCCTCACGGGAAACTTTTTAAACGTAAACCTGTGGACATTTTAGTGTTTAGGATTTTTTTTTCCACATATCTCAATGTATGTCAAAGAGGTATAAACCCGCAATGATGAGGACAGATTTCAAGTAAAGCTGCACAAACAAGGCAGTCCACGCACACACGCAGGAAAGAATTCTGAAGCAAGAGTAGAGACTTTCTCACCTTTAGTCCCCTGAACTTTAAGACATTTCCACTTTCGAGAGAGCTATAAGCTAAACCGAAAATATGTCCAGAAACTGAAAATGTTGTGTTCATCTTGCTTCACATACTGCTCGTTTTTTTAATGAACTAAAACTACCTTTTCATACACAAGCAGGACAAAATTTTCCACTACACTTTTCACACACAGACTTGACAACAAGGCCACCAAAGTGTATCTGCCGATTCAATTTAGCAATGTTTTCTTTTTTAATCCATTAGAGAAAGAAAACAACTCAGTGGATAGTCTCATCAGTTATATTTTCAATGTTCAGTTGCTGCTAACCAGCTGTACTCCAACACTTCCTATCTACAGGGCTGCTGTAGTGGCCCTCCTGGATATCACTTTAGCTGCTACTCCAACAAGTCTCTCCTAGACTTCAACTACCACAGCAAATCTGCAGCAGGTGACTCAGTGAGTCCGTATTCTGCTCCAACCAGACCCTCCTGTTACTGCAATTAGATGCAATCCAGGACAGGATGACTGGTCCACTGTAGGTCCAGCTGGGCATATTGTTTTTAATTTAGTTAACATCCTTTTTTTTTTTTTGAAGAAGAAGAAGAAGAAGAAGAAGAAGAAAAAAAGAATCGCTCTACAACAGCTTTACAAAAGCTTTTCACTAAAACCCAGGTTACACAAGTTCTCTTCTCATTTAATTTTTTTAAAGTTTATTTTTAGGTTGCTGGGAAGAGGGATGGATAGCACAAGTGTAAAGAGACCAGAAGTGTAGGGAAAAGGAAATGACATGGAGTGAAGATCTGGACTCACTGGCATTAGTGTCTGTTTTTTTCACAAACGAGCGTCAACATAAAACACCGGAATGTGAAATTTTGATAAGTATTAACTAGTTAATTGTATGGTCTACATCTACTTCTGTCAAAGTCGGGAAAATCCCATAATGTGTGCCTGTGCACGCATCCGTCTCTAACCTTGGTTTTTAACCTCTGCAAACTCTTTGTTGTAGTCCTCCAGTGTCTCTCGAAGTTTGGTGTTCTCTGTCTCAATGTCGTGCATCCTCTGGAGCTTCAGCTGCAGCTGCTGAGCCAGCTCCAACACAGGTACAGGATCTGGTAGAGAAAACACACACCATGTTAACACACTGTAAAGCAGATCAGACAAGCAAGGGCGGCAAGGTGGTGTAGTGAGCTAGGAATAACTACATTCATGGCCCTGTGAGAGAGAGGGAGAGCTTGCCCTGGTGAAGAGTCCTTGGGCAAGGCAATGAATCTCTAGCAGCTCCAGGACAACTGTTCTGGAGCCGACCCTGACCTCTGATCCCCCTTTGGAGGATTAGTGGTTAGAGCAGAAACCAAAACATATCACAATTACCAGTCATACTGCGATGAGGGGAGAACAGTCTGACATCTTCAAATCAGAGCTTGGCTTTACTTTTAGAAATAATAATGTGGCAGTAAATTCTATTTAATGTTAGTTATTTATAATAAACCTGTTTTCAAACTACTCTCCATGATAGAAGGTTCAATACTTTAGAGTAGGGATGTCCAACTCATTTAACATCGTGGGTCACACACAGCCCAGTTTGATCTTAGGTGGAACTGCATGATAAATGTGTAAAATTACAGAAAGAGTCATGATAGTTCATTGCACAGATTGTCCTGTAATTATAAAATATAAAGTTTTTGTTAATTTACTGTAGACTCACTAGTGGCTGAAAAGCAAGTGCTTTCCTGTCATTCAATTACTTTGGTGTAGTATGAATTGCACTGGGGGGAGGCAGTCTTTATCAACAGGAAAATCTTAAAAACTTGTGAAAATACAGTTTAAAGGCCGGATTCAAGTGTTCGTCGGGCCGATTCAAGCCCCCGGGCCTTATGTTTAATGCTCCTGCTATAGAGTAAAGCAGCTTAACCTTGATGCGTCTTCATCACTGGCTTCTCACGGCCACACTTAAATACATTATTCTCACTTACTGATAATGACCTAAAAAGAAAGTCATCAGGCTCTTATAACATCAGAGCACTTCGGTGATTAGAAAAGAACAGATCAAACTTCGTACTTATAAGTCACTGTTGGTTTACCCATTCTTTCCTAACAAAACTTTATCCATAAAGTCTATTGAACGATAGACTATCAGTCTTTGTATCAAGCGACCATTGTTGAGTTAGGAGATTAACTTTGGTTTCTGTATGCGGGAAAAAAACATAATGCGTCAACTGTTGGCGCAGCGGGAGAACCGGATAAGTAGAGGCACACAGTAACATAGAAGAGACAAATTAACAGGAGAGATTACTGGGCTATGATCAGTTAAAATGTTTCGCTATGATGCCGCTTGAAAGCGAGAAAGAAGAAAAACATGGGAGCAGACAGATGGACAAAGCGGAGCTGTAAAAACAGGCAATGAGAAAAGGTAAATACGAGATTAAAGAAACAGAGACAGAAGGAAGAAAGGCAACTTTCTGGAGGCATTTTACCAACATCTCTGAACACACAGCAGGGTTAACTGTCAGTGTGATGAAGAGAGGCCTGTCAGTCAGGCCAATCACATCTGATTGGTGCTCATGGGTGGCAGACTGGTGACAGGCAGCCAAGAGACGCAGGCGACGCTCATCAGCATGCCAGCTAAAAGAGCAGTTTATGTGTGTATGTTTGTGTGTGCGTGTTTATGAGTGTGTGTGTGTGTTGTACAGATAAGAGGAACTGACAGCTTACAGCTGGGGGTAAGGGCTGTGTGTGTGCGCGCGCGTTTGTGTGTGTGTCTCATGTCTGACGCAGTTAGATATCTTAACTATGCTAATGAGAGATCAGCAGAGAACGATTGGGGAATTTCATGCTGATTTTGTGCTGTCAAGGTGACACACCATGCAGGGCTTGGCTCTGACACACACACGCACGCACACACCTCTTCACATAAACACATGCGTTTGCTTCCAAAGTCTCACAAAAAAAAATACACACAAGTACAAACACTCACTAACATAACTGTACGCCCTGAATTTGGACTCCTATCTGCCTCTGTGCCCTTGAAAAATCAACTTTCTCTCCCTCTTATCAAACCTGTGTCCTTCACTTGGACCCCCCCGCTTCAAATCAACTGTACAGCCTGTTAAAAGCAGTTTGACTGGTGGGCCACTGGTGCTGAACGCTCTCGCCAGACACCTTTAATCTAAACCAGAGCACACTGGGCTGACTAACCAGGCCTTCAGCTGATAGAAGACAGAACAAAACACACTGTTTCCTCTTTCAAGACTGCTGCATTAGTCAGGCCGGTCTGTGTCTGTGTGCGTGTATGCATCAGGCATTACATCATTGTCTCGCTGCAAGTTAAGAATAGCCCCGTCAGAGCTGGCGCTGACTTATTGGGAGCAGTACAATCCAAAGATATTACTGTAGGTCTATCCATGTGGGAATATGATGACCTCCTTACGCTATAGATGAACTCAACTCTTTCATTCCTGCATACGCGGCCCCTTCAGGGCTCCCGAGCAGCTGAAAGTCTCCTACCAGCAGCACTGTGGCTGTGTGTTCTGCAGCTCTCGGTGCCGCGCGGCCCTCCCTCAGCCTCAGTGCTGCTGGATGCGACCGCTCGTGTATGTGCACACTTTGCCGCGGCCAATTGTGGGCACGCTTGTCATCCGTATCAGGACGCACCTTCTGTTAAGACCCTATAACGGCTATACCAATGGGGATGAGGTCTCCTGGGGACATATTAAGGCGTCGCACACGCCTGGATGAACAGTGAAGCAGCACCAGAGGGACGGTGTCACACGTTTTCTGCGTTTTTCCCTGTTGCTGCTGTCTGCACGGATGAGGGAAGGTCTCCCTGATTGCAATTCCGGACTAGGGAGGAGTCTACACAAACACACTTGTATCATCACTAAGAGCAGTCTTACCTGGGACATCGATTATTTTTTTGTACACGTTCAAGAAGGCGGCCTCTGCTTCTTTACTCCTCTTACTCAAGGCATCGATCTGCAAGGAGGAAAAATAAAACGTAATTGTTAAACGTCAGTTACCATACACTCCAAAAGCAGGCACATTAATTTAACGGTGAGAGCCGTCTACATATCTGTCTATCCTCACTATGCCTTGGTATGTTGCATGAGATCGGGGCCGTCATGACAGCGGCCACGTTGGTGTTTCCTTCCCGTGAAGTCAGTTCAGCTGTTCAGCCGATGACGGATGCGTTTCGTTTGCTGTGTACGTGTGTTCGTCTATCCGTCTGTCCTCGAGTGAGTGTGCCTAAGTCCTTCAGTCTGTTGTGTGTGTGTGTGTGTGTGTGTGTGTGTGTGTGTGTGTGTGTGTGTGTGTGTGTGTGATGGCGAGCCTGTGTGCAAATGTATGTGTTTGTTTCCCCTCCAGCACACTGACATCATTAAACAGCTGGCTCAGTCTTTCCAGCCACAGCAGGGGCAGATTATTCAGTCAGCTCTTAGCAGCAATACAGTGTGGATCCATTACTGATGCAGCCATTAACACAAGAGGGCACGGCATGCATTCCATCACCGATATTATTGAAACGGACAGCATTAGATTGGATCTATAAGAGATTAATTCTAAAATCATACTGGAGAGGGGAACTTTTACGCTGTTGTCAATGCTGAAACATGAGGCAACGAGCTCTGCCATAGTCTCTGTGTCACACTTCAATATGAGAAGCAGACAGAGTAGGCGAAATGCATCTGAAATCAAGTCTAAATCGAGGGAAACAGATGCCAAATAAAGACATTCAGATGGTGCTACTGTACTGGGCAGAGCTACAGCTGACTACTCTGGCTCACGCACTCAGACTAAACAGCCTGTGTTTCTCTTCCAACTCCTCCAGCACATTCACTGAGAGAAAAGGAATAAAGACAAAAGCCTATATAAGTCCAAATATAAAGTCTTCACATTCCCAGCCAAGCCAGTAGTGTAGTTGATGGGTGGTTTAGGGGTTCTTGCCACTGTAAACAGAGCGGGCTACATGTAATACTGCCTGGGCTCCTATGGGAACCTAATAAATCTCTTCACATGGCTTTGATTCATCTCTAGTTTTTTAGCCGCAAAACATCTGGCCCTGAGTAGGCTGGTGCCAGCACACCACCCCTCCCTCTTTTTTTCATTTCTCTGTGTCTTTCTCCCCGTCTCTCTCACAAATTCTCTCTCTTGTCACTTCCATGTTCTCTGACTCAGTCTTTTCTTTTCCTCAATTTGTTTTTTCCACTGTTAGCCTTTCTCACATGTTTCTCTGTCACACTTGAGTCTCTCTTGCATGCTCCTGCAATCTCCCTCCTCCCTCTCTCTCCAATACTAATATCTCTCGTTCTCACATCATGCTGCATCGTGTACTTTACCCTTCTTCGTGTGCTGTGTGACACTGAGCGATCAGAATCCTCAAATGCATGGCCGCTAATGGGAGATTACAGATACAGAGCACTAATACCTTTCTCACACACACCAACATCAAACCTGTCGAAATGTCCGTGCACACGTCTGTGTGTGTGTTTGTATATATAAGGGAATGTGATCAGAGACTTAAAGTCATGCCACACAATCTCATCATAAAAAAGAAACATACAAAAACCATCACACACACACAGAAAAAAAAAAATTATCTGCCAATGGCACCGAAGGAAGCCAGCTGCGTGACTGTACAATGACTGGGCCAAGGTCAGTGGTACACTAGCTTTATATAGCCCAACATGGGAGGCAGGAAATAGACATTTAATGTAGGACACACCCTACAGTTAGAGGCAGGTTAACTGCAGGACCAGAGCCATTAGAAGACCACCCAGGATTTGCAAATACAACCCTGCTGTTCCAAACTGCAGCTCTTTCAACCAATCCCAATGACATCTGCTATTACATGCTCCCCTGCCCCCATCCCACACACACACACACCAAGCAAAACAAATGAAGTGACACAAATGATACCTCACCAGTATCAGTAGGTTACTGATGAGAAGTGCTTGCAATTGCAAAAAGGTATCCCTGACAAGTCCACGCACACAAACACATACGTACATACGTCAGCACCTTGTGCCACCATCACTCAGCACCACCTTGCTCCCCTATCTAACCCGTAGTGTGTGAAGGGCATCGGGCTGACCTGTGTGTGTATACATATATATCTGTGTGTGTGTGTGTGTGTGTGTGTGTGTGTGTGTGTGTGTGTGGCCCCAGTGGAGTCTGATAAGGGGAGGCTATGGGAAGCAGAGACTGAAGCCTTGGATAATGGAAAAGCTTATCTGATCGATGGACCAACAAGGAACACTGAGTATGCAACATACACACACAAACACACACACACACACACACACACACACAAACACACACACACACACACACACATAACCCGTTTACCAAACTGAGGCCTTGTGGAAACACTACTGTTATTGGTAATAATTATGACCCGAGGGCATCCACCTTTCAATGACAAAGATTAAACAGAGTATCAAGACCTCCAAGTTCCTGGGCTAAAACTTTTTATTGTTCTGTCTGAGTTCTACATTCACTTAGTAAAGATTCACCCTCCTGGGTAAAATGCTTAAGGATGAGTTACTGTGGGATTTCGACAAGACCTTCTGGCTTCTGGTGCTGTCTTGTCCTTGATCAAAGCATTGAGGGGTAAGCAAACAAAGACGGGCTAAAATTACACATTCTCAGAGCAACTCATGTCGTGGCATGCAAGCGTGCAGAATAGGCGACTGATTGATGGGCTGCTCTAAGACTGGCGCGGGTGTACAGTATTATCGCAATAATCATAAGATAATGTCCTTCTCAGTTCCGCGACCACCCACTACGCGTCTCAGCGTGTTCTGGTGTGCACGCCGTCGAGGTGTGTCAACATGAGGATTGTGGAAACAGCTGACAAAGCCCCAATTATACCGCTGCTGTTTCTATTCTCTAAATAGACTGTGGATCATCAGCAGAACATGGAAGAACCACTATAAATTACAGCATTTTTACATAACCACTGGCTGTGGTTGTTGCTCTAACACAAGAATATGGAAACTAACCCAGTGTTAAACTGTAGCACTCTATGGCCAGTAGCAAAGCAGCCCTGTCACTATCTATTGAGATGATTTTCTTTCTCTGTGTGTGAGAGTGTGTGTGTATGTGTGTGTGTTAGAGAAAAGATTCTGCTGAATGTCCACCCACTCCAACCCCAAATAACGCCCCAGTCTAAACCAGCCGCTTCCACTCCTACCCACTGACTTTCACATATGGGAGCGAACTGGAAATGCATGGCTGCCAGTGAGGAGGAGCCACGATGGAAATGGGCCAAAATGACGGAGGAGGATAGAGGGGGGGGGAACAGCAGGGGTATGATATAGCACACACAAAAGTCACCTTTGATTGGTCAAGGTACACAAAAACCTTGGGCAAACTTAAAGTAAACATGCATGTGCCACAATGAGCAAAAATGGCTCATGATTCACCAAATCAACTGAAGAAAAAAAAAAGAAAAAACAACAACAAATATCCCCCCACAGAATCATGCAGACAAAGTCTGAGGAAATAGCACTCGGTGAGTTGTGACTGGCTAGAGCTAGGGTTTTGTGGTGCCTTTTTTTTTTTTTTGCAGGATGCAATTTAAACACACCCTCGGGCAACAGGACTTCATGAATAGGACAGAAAATCAAGAGCAGAGCAGAGCAAAGAAAAGAGGGAGAGGAAAGAAGGGGAAATGAGATAGTGGCAAGAAAGAGAACAGGAGATGGCGAAGTGAAGAGGGGAAAGAGAGAAGTGAGAGAGAAGAGATGATGATTGAAGACAAAAGTTAAAAAAAGAAAAAGAAAAAAAGGCACTGCGAGAGGAAGCAAGTTAGCAGTTAATGAATGTCAAACAGGCTTCATAAAATGCATTATTTGATTACTTTGCTTGGAGCATGTTATGGATATCGCTGTGTCAATAATAATTTCCAAAAATAATCCACTCACCTCTCCTTGGAAGCTCTTAAGCAAAGGTGCAACCTGTTTCCGTAAATCCTAAAAAAAAATAAAGAGGAGATTAGTGAGTATCAAAAACAGAAGAATCAACTGAATATTTTAATCCTTAAATAGCACTAAATAACACAGGGACAAGTGGCAGAGATGCACAAGTTGTATAATGACTATGTAGCAATCGAATAAGCTGCTCAAGCAGTGACCGTTCCTGCTGCTGTCAACCTCAATGAAAAACAAAAGAAAAAAAACAAACAAAAAAAAAAAACACTGCGGTGCGTGAGTGATGAACATGATGTTAGGGAGGATGCCAGGTTTGTACCCGGAGGTGTTCCGGCGGACAGCGTTTCTCACAAGAACAGGTGCAGCACCACCTGGGCCACCCAGGGGCAGCGCTAGCGCACGTGAGAGTGAATGAGCCGAGGAGAAGGCCTACCGTTAATGCAAATCATGTCCGCGCACCAAATTTTATTTTATTTTTTTACTATAACGGAAACGCTCCTTATCCTCCCAAGTCCCATTGCATGACTTTCCAGTACAAGTCAGCAGTTTCAGATTAGATACCCGGTCGAGTACGTATCAGGGGAACATGCAAATCACCGTGCTGTTAGCTGAGCCCACATCCTGACAAACTGAACTGGAGCGTATGGTAAAAAGCGCGGCAGAATAGGACATTCTGTACAGGAACACTTGATTCTCACAGTTTGTGAATGCACGCGCACTCTCAAAACTGCCTAATGAAGATGTGAAGTAGGGCAACGACAGATGTGTGCTCGGGAGACTCGGCGCCTTTTAGAAACCCTCTGCCTTTAAAAGCCTAGCTGAGGCTGCAGGGGAACGTGCATCCCAAACTGACCTGGGACCAGTGTCTGGGGCCAGGCCTAATCCCAGGTTGGTCCAGACAGGCCGCTTGTCTGGGGCTGAGGACAGGTCGTGACCTTGGTGACCCCGCTTCATTGTTACCTCATCAGGGGTCGTTGCGGCTGTTTGTCTGGGCCAATTCAATATCCCCCCGCTGAGGGGTAATGACCTGCACCCTGCCCCCCCCTCAAAAAAACCCTCCTTCCCTCTTTTTTCTCCCTCTAACACAGAGGAGATGAAGAGCATGGAGGGAAAAAAAAAAAAAAGACCCACCCACACAAAACACCAGATAAGTGTCAGCTTCATCGTTTGCATTCTGATAATATTCTAATTTTACATTTCAGTTTCCTTTTAGTTTTTCGATGACCTGCACTACAGCATATTTGGATTCATGAAAATACAAAATATAAACAAAAGTTCACTTGTTTGGAACATCTATGCCCCCGTTTTGCTGCAAGGCAATGAAAATGCAACATTTAAGGCACTTTTCACTTCAGTATCTCACACTTTGTGTTATCATCAACTCAGCGCTGATTCACAGAACCTCTTATGAAAATACAGTAACCAAAAAAAGTAGTCCAGCAATAATTGCCGCCTTTGTTGAAATTATAATCTTCAACTTTTTTTGAAGGAGTCTGCGCGATGAGTCAACTCGAGGCAACCATAAATTTTTTTTTAAGAAAACCAAATCATATGAAGTCGCTCTAACAATCTCATTAACTTTGAGTTTTTAGGTTTTAGTAGCTGTAAGCTTTCATAAATGCTGCAGCAACCTCAATGATTACTTACAATTATTATACTTTTGCATTTTTCTTCTTTCGTTTTTGTGTTTTTGTTTTCGATTTGGTTTATTTTCAGACAGTTTCCAGATGCGGATTGATTGTTTGGGGGAGAGAAAAACGTTTCGTTCTTTTCAGTGTTACTTTTAGTCTTTAATTACTTTAGTCTCGAGTGCTTTAGTCACATTTTTCAGAGGTTCAGAATAGAAATACAAACATAAACAAGATTTTCTAAAGGATGTTCATTCACACATGTAGACATCTCAAGTCTCGATAAACACATGGCAGGTAATAAAAGCAAATCAGACCAAAGTGACAAAACCTAAAACTGAAGATTTCAGTATTTTTTTTACTCTATTTTAGTTCGATTTAAGTTTAGCTTTTGTTTGTATTGAGCTTAACTAAAATGCTTCATTTACACCTACTTTTAGCTTTTAGTTAATTATAATAACCTAGTGTAGACTCAAACAAAAACAAACACACGCAAATACCACACGGCACCAAGCGACTCCTTCTGCTGAACACCGGAGTTTTAAACCCCTCTGGTCCACTCTGCGGTGCTCCACCCCCTGCCCCCTCCACTTCCAAAGATTTATGACCATATAACAACAATGCACACAGACACCATGGTCAATGTGTGTGTGTGTGTGTGTGTGTGTGTGTGTGTGTGTGTGTGTGTGTGTGTGTGTGTGGTGAGGGGAGTGGAGGGGCCCAGGCAGCAAGAGATGGATGGCTGGTGTGTAAGCTGCCGGCAGACAGCAGACAGGCCAGCCCGAGGAATCCTCCAGGGAGTATGGAACTCCCATTCGCTGTCTGTCTGGCCTGCAGCTAAACACTAACATGTGTGTGTGTGTGCACGCGCACACCACACACACACACACACACACACACACACACACACACACACACACACACAGTTGTTTTACTACCACTGCCTCTGGCTAGCAATCTTTGGGACATTTTACAACCATTCCCACCCTTGCCTTTATAACAGTGTAGTAGGGAAGTCTTGACTAACTAAAAGGAAATTAAGAAGTGGATGAATAATTTAGGTGACTTAGGAAGCGCAGCAAGATGTAGTCTCTAAAAAAAGAAAAAAAATTCAACAGCGTGTCAGTCCTAATGAATTATAAAAACTTTGTTTTCACGCTGCATTTCTTTGCACTACTTTCAAAATGCTACAAAAGCCTGCGTGAGTGTGTGTGTGTGTGTGTGTGTGTGTGTGCATGCGTGCATGTGTGCGTTATTATGCAGACCATGAGTGCAGTTCACACCGAGTACAGCTCAGCAGACTAGACACAGTCAACGTGGGCCGGTCTCCTGGTTGTTGAATAATGGATCAGAGACGGACTCCCGCTCAGCCTAATGCAGTCTGATCTGATGTGACTGTGATCTCCGTTGACTGGTGCGGACCACAGAGAGCTGACAGCCCGCTTTATAAGCTGGTCAACCACACACATACACATGCAGCCACGCAAGCGATGGAAAAAAAAAAAAACAAAAAAAAAAAAACGCGGCTCCTCAAATGCACACAAGACGATCGGGGCATTTTTAATCAAGCGCGGGCCATCACACGTTATGAACCAGCCTGTTTGGTAGGCAGCCTTGATGCTTCTGTATTTCCAAACGCCCGGAGTTTTAGTGCTGATTCCTATTGAGGCTGTTACAGCCCTGTAATGAATCCTGTCGCTCGTCTGGCCTGGCTCAGATTCCTCCTCCACATACCAGGGAGATGCCAGGGGCCACACAGACGCCAGAGGAGCCTTCCTAAATCACAGCCTTGTTACACTGATGAATGTGTGTGTCCTGTTCTGTGATCTAGGCTATCTGCCTCTGTGTGTTTGTGCCTCTGCCTTCTCTGCATGTTCTCTTTGTGCATGGCTCCCGCTGCCTCTGCATGTGTGTTTCTCTCCCTTTGTGTCTGTCTTGCCTCCCTGTGTGTGTTGTTAGTTGTGCGGTTATACTTGGAAATGAGATTAGAGATGAATGTGTAGGGTGAAGTGAAATTAGCATCCTTTGTATGCAGGTACAGTTTCCTCCCGTGTATACTCCTCTACAGCGGGTGGGCTACATGCTGAAGTCAATAGTCACAATCCCCATCCTGTGGTAACTATAATAGGCCTACTGTCAACTCCGCGGAGAGTTGACAATTTTCTATCCACTGTCTACTCCGTTCATACATAATTCATGCTGCCATCAATAATTCACCATGGTGACATTACCAATAATAACACAACAATACTTTGTTTTTGCTGTGAGGTTTGAAATATGTTGCCTTGGTTACAGAGATGAAACAAATATTCCCTGGAGGAGTGATGGGAACACAGGAACAGGACAGAATTCCCTCCTGATCCCACTTAGTAGTGTTGTCTCTCTCTCTCTCTCTCTGTCTCTCTCTCTGTCTCTCTCTCTCTCTGTCTCTCTCTCTCTCTCTCTCTCTCCTGCTCTGTCACTCTCTCGCACCGACCACACTTTCTGCTCGCATAAAAAACTAGGTCAGATAATACAAACTCCTGAGGGGTTTTCTGTTTTGTCTCTTTAGGATTTCAGGGAAACTAATGGAGAGACTATTTTTGGGAGCCAAGCCCGCATCTCTGTTCCGTCTACTCCTCTCAGTAAATAATCACGGCTACATTTATGAAGAGGAGAGCAGACACCGAGAAACGCCGAGGCCAAGCGTGATTGTCAAAAGAATTGCGGGGCGCACTGTACGCGTGGCTGTGTGTTGGTGCTCGCCTGTGAATATCCGATTTTCTCACCTCTGGAGTGTTCTTCTTGAACTCGCGGCTCAGGTCGATGAGTTTCTTCCTGGACTGTTCGCTCTCGTCCTGTCTGTTGGCAAGCTGCGTGGCGGTGACGTCTAGTTCTTTCTGCAAGACAAACAGACAGGTTGTTGTTTTTGTTAGTTGCATTCAACATTTTATTACACTTATCACTACTGTAATGGTCATTATAATCGTAATCATTGTTATCAATTACGATTAAAAGATGGGAGCTGTTTTATGACTAGACTGCAAACTGTTGGACCTATTTGCTTTGCTGATATTATTCAGAATGCTGCAGTAGGCCGAAAACACGGCCACAGAGTAGAGGTTTCTAAAAACTAAACCTTTGATGTGCTTCAGCTTGTGGCCTTCATTGGGGTCTACACAAAACATATTACAGCCAGTTTTAAAAATTTGAGGCATAAAGTAAAAAACAAACAAACAAACAAACACACACATATGATTGGTTGCTTTGTATTTTAAATTATTATTTTTGACCTATAATATGTCTGTGACCACTCTGGCACAGGCCTATCAAATCATAAAGTTCCACTGGTTTTGCTGGAGCATTAACCTGTTCAGAAAGCAGAACCACAACACCAACGGCCCACCAAGGAAAAACCTGACGGCCTTTCACCCTGGCAGTCAATCAGTTACCGCTCTAACCACTACTAGTAAATGCCCAGGCATTTCAAACCAATTATTGACTACCAGGTGACTCCTCACCACATAACAACAAAAACACAATTATCAACAGCAGCAGTTGTCAAGGCTGAACGGAGGTCCCACCTTCGTCCGCATCCATTTTGCACTGTTATTAATAGCTATTTATGGGACTTGTTCCAGCTGATGGGCCGTGTGCTGACATTAACAAGCCGTTCAGGCCTTGTAAAGATTGTATCTCCGCTCTCCGCTGAGTGTGTGAGAGTGCTGCTGGATTATGTTTCGGCTGGATTCTTGCTCTCCGTCATGCTCGCTCCCTCATTTTTCCATACTCTCTACAGATCATCTACTCACTCATTCAACCAGCAGTTCCTTCTCTTCAGTTTAAATCTCTCTTCTGCCTTTGCCCCGCCTCCCCTTCTCTCTCCCCCCTCCCCCCATTCACCTCCTGTGAGGCCGCCCACCCTTGAGAGTGATTAAACGCTGCTGAAGGGCCGTTATGCTAACTAACGCACTAATCATTTAATACACACATTACCACAGGGGCCCTTGTGGCTCAGTCTGCTGACAAGGTCCCAAAACACACTCACGCACACATGCCCACCTCCCCACTTTGCCTATACACCCCACCCCCAAAAACACACAAGAAATTTCAACCCTCTGAAGAAACAGTGTGATCAAGAACTAATTAGGAGATTTTTTTCCCCCTCCATCAGCATTACGTTTAATTCCCTGACCAGCCGTGATCTCGTTTTAACCACAAACCATGAAAAAGTATAACAAATGGATTCGGTCGACTGTCCCCTGCAATGGATTTTATGCAGGAGAAACAGGATGTTTGGGGAGAGAGAAAAAAAAAAAAAAAAAAAACTGCTCACTTGCTTACATGCCATCTTGTTCTCACTGCCCATGGAGCAGTTGATGTAGCAGCCTGTCTGCCCATGGCCATGGAGCAGCTGCACTATCTGTTAGTGAACTCGAGCGTGCGCAGAGGCTTGTGCATCGCTTGATGAAAGGAGGAACCTGATAAATTTTAATCATGTTAAATTAATTGTCAAAAACTGAATGTTCTAGTTCATGAACAGTGGTGTAATTATTGCATTGGTAAAGATTAGCTACAGGAACAAGAATACAGGGCCCAGTATGTTCAAGATACAAGGATCAAATTGATATGACGACGATATGATGCATGAAGCCTTGTTTTTCTGATCAGCGTGGACTATAATCACTCGCTGAAATTTTATTTTAAAGCCTGATGTGAATTCAGCTGGAATTGGCAGCAACGAGGGTAAATTTCAGTGTATCCCCGAAGTGTGGTTGCTGTTAATCATCCCAGCTGTGTGATTAGGCACATGGAATACATTTGGAAAACAGAAATACTCCCTCTGCAATGATGTGATGCGAATTCTGCAAATGTGAAATAGTATGGATGGCCGATAGAGCGTAGGTAACGTCTGAATAAGCCCATTACAACTGCTTTCATTTCTCCACTCTTATTTCAACTGTGGGTTTACAGAGATCATAACTTTCACACTGCATGGCTCCTTTGTTATACACTGCTGTTCATTTGTAGCCTTTCACAGTCACTGTAAACGCAGGGCTTATAGTATTGCTTACTCAGATGAAGAAAAATCCTGCAACAACATTGTCTTTTTATTGACAGGAGCTCTCAGGATGCATTCCGATATGCACATTAGTCCACGAATTTTATGCAAAACGGTGTTGAAGGAATTCAACAAAGCAGGTAAATCAATTCATTTAAGCTGATCAATAAGATCCGTTTTTGTGCTCATAAAAGTGAAATATCCACAATCCTCCACTAGGGCTCTGCTTTAAGAGGTCATGTGCCAATCTCCAACGCCCTTGATTCTGTCCAATCCCTTTCCAATACCCTGCATATATCCCAATGTGTTACCAAATCCTCGCTCCAAAAAAAGAAAAATTCTCACTGCTAAGCTAAATAAACACATCACACATGAAAGAGGATTGATTCAGTGCCAAGTGGGCAAGTAATTATGGGCATGGTCTTAGTTTGGGGGGAGAGAGGAGGGGGGGGGGGGGGACATAAAAAAGGACCCTCACACTCAGTCAGGTTTTGACTATGCAGCAAACCCCTCTGCCCACATCAGCAGACACAGGCAGACTTTACACTCATCTTGCTGATAGAGCGTAACATCGGAAAGTGCACAATCCCCGCTGCCTGCTCGTCACACACACACACACACACACACACACACACACACACACACACACACACACACACACACACACACACACACACACACACACACACACACACACGACCATTAGAAAACCATTAACATTTCTATATTAAGCTCAATTTTACTGCACATGAAGTTGTCATGTTTAAGCACGTTAGTGAAACACTGAACAAACAGTTCTGTGTTTTCTCGGCTGGATGCTGTTTTTGTATGAAGTGGAAAATTAAAAAAAATTATACTGAACACTGGTGAGGTCTTTGATTCCCTCATCCTCCTTAAAATATATATAAAAAAATGCTTCCAATGCCCACTTCTTTCTTTCATTTTTGTTTCTAAATCAAATTCAAACTTGTTAAGTTTCTCGCATTGGATGGTGTGGACTACAGGAGTCAAACTGTCATGCCACATTTCCATAGGGCAAATATATTCATAGCTGTAAAATGCTGCCGCTCTCTTCGCCATATCTCCAGGTTTCCTGGGAAGTTAGCTTGTTGACCAAGGGTTAAAAGAGGCGGACACTTTTTCCACAATATGAATGTTAATGTATAAACTCTAACCATCCGAGCTGCCTGAATTATTTGCAGTTAGGACTGTCAGTGCTTAACCAGTTCAGCTACGTGATACTTGCTAGCATGTACTCTGGAGTTTATGTTACCGTCCTGACTAAAGATAGCAGATAGCTAGATTAATAGATGGCTAAATAGAACCACGAAGACCCTTCATTTTCATAATGAAAAGCATGGTGACATGTGTCACTATCTATCCGAGTCACCACAGCGATCACAAACAGCAACAGCGTGTGCAGACTGGCAGAAAGGAGTGGGCAGTGCCTTGGCAAGTTTCAGAGCTGAACAAAGAAGTCAGAAAGGACAAACATGGCAGAAAAAAAAATCCTAAATAAAAGAAATCTAAAAAGTTTTATCCTTGCAGTTACTTATGCTGCATATTTTTAACTAAATTTCCTGTTTTCTATTTATTATCAAAGGGTTTTAAAAAATGCTTCGCTACATGTTATTTTAATGACTTTGATAAAGTTTATTAGGCTCAAAACTTTGGAGGTTGATTACTGTTTGAAAAAAAATGTTTTTTCAAATTTAAAAAAAGGCTTCTCTACAGGGGTTTAAGCCATCTGGCATTCAACTGGGATTTTCCTTCTATCTTGTTTGACATCAGTAACAGACATAAGACGCACACACAAACCTTACAAATTAGTCTGACAAGGAGACAAAACCCTAAAAGTGAAGATAGAAAACCGGGTAAATGAACACAATCCACATTTTGCATTACAAGACTCAAGAAGAAAATGCATTTCCTTTAGATAATGTAAATACTTCAGTGAACAGCCTGCAGACAACCATCAAGCATGAAAAACTGCTGGGTTTGGGGCCTTCAGGCTCAGCCTCTGAGGTCAACACTCTCTGGCTCTCCTTGGCTCGACTTTGAAAGATTTTACTTTTCATTTAAGAGGGAAAAAAACTACTTAATATATTCTATAACTGCTCATTACAACACCAGCGCTATTTTTGAATCTGCACTGTCTAGTTTTTAGTCGAGGAAGGAACATGGTCTGTGCAGGGGAGCATTAAGTGGGCTGTAATGTCTGTGTGATTGCTGTAACAGCCCTGCTTGGCTTGGCTGGACTGGCCCACAGCAGCAGTCCCTGTCCTGGTTCATTTGGTCGTCTGGTCAGCTGTAAAGACGATTGGAACAGATTGCCAACACTCCCTAGAGAGACTTCAACACCGACTTGGCCAAGAAGCCTCTTGCACACTGCTCCACACGCGTGTGCTCTCACATGAATGCACAGACAGGCCGCTGCAGTAACTTGGGGAGCCCAGTCTTTCCACATTCTTTTGAACTCCCGTTTCAAAAGAGGAAGTCTGCTAACATGTTCGCCCGGCGGAATTTGGCACGGGTAGCCACGTTCGCAGCGAGGAGGAAGAGGCTGCGCTCGACATGAAATGAGCGTCTCTCCATCCTACCGCTGCGGTAATATTAGTAATCGCTGATAAGAGTCACGGGTAAACAAATCCCATTACCAATGGCCATCAGACCCAAGGTGTATGTATGTGTGTTCATCACTCCTAATGAAATTCCTTCCACTCGTCTGCAGGCAGAGAGAGGCCTTCTATCTGACTAATTCACTCTAATTACTCTAATGAGCCACAGGTGATGATACAGTGAGACTGATTAATTAAATGGGAGGCCCCAATCAGGCAT